GAGAAGATAGACAATAAATATAATAAAGGCACTAATTACAGAATCAGTTGAAAAGTGATAAATGCTATGAAAAGAGGAGAAATAGACCAGGTGGAGTGGAATCAGGAGTGATGGGGGGACATGGAGGGGTGATGCTAAATGAGTTGTTGAGAAGACAGCATTTGAGCAGAGATTTAAGGAAAGTGAGGAAGTTAGCCCTGTTCTTTTGGATGAAGAGCGTAACAGGAAAAGGGCTCCTGGCTGATACTGTGAGTTCTCTTGGGCAAACAGCAAGGAGGTCATTGTGGCTGGAGCAGCGAGACTGAGCAGGCACAGGAAGGCAGGGCAGGGGCCACAGCAGATAGGATACTGCAGGCTCTTGTAAGGATGTCAGTTGTTTTTCTCCAGTTATTTCGGCTGCATTGAGTCTTCACTGCCACATGATGCTCTCTCCAGTTGTGGTAGGTGGGGGATACGCTCTAGTTGTTACACATGGGCTGCTCATTGCAGCCGCTTCTCTTGGTGCAGAGAACCAGCTCTGGAGCACGGGCTTAGTACTTGTGGCGCATGGGCTGGGATCTTTCTGGACCGGGCATTGAACCCATATCCCTTGCACTGGCGGTGGATTCTTAACCAGTGGACCACCAGGGCAGTCCCAGGACTTCAGTTCTTACTCTAGTCTCCAAAGAAGGCTGTGGAAAGGCTACACTGGACTCACTTTCTTTGAAAGGGCAAATGCTAGACTTACCCTTGACCCCTGACTCCAGGTCTCTGGGGTGGGATCCAGAAGCTGTTGTGTTTCTGACAGAGTCCTCAGGGTGATTCTGATGTGCAGGGAGGTTGAAGACCACTCCTTCAGCTCAAAAATGCCACTGTTCTAAATTAAAAACAATTTAATAAAAGAAAGTAGAGATTTCACTGCATTCCCAAAGGTTGGTGATTTAGAGATGCTGGAGATGATGTAGGAAATGGAGGCCCCGAGGTTAAGTGACTTGCCTGAGGTTACACAGCTGCAAGAGGCAGTTCTGCTTCCAGGTCTGCCCTTCTCTCTCTGAGATCAAGGAACCTTCCACTGTGCCCAGCTACCTAATAAACTGTGTCAGTTCACTTATCAGGTGGTTAGATTTCCAATAAGCTCCGCCATTAAGAATATAGTTTGAATTCAGAGCTCCGTAAGGTTGATTGGTTGATTAAATGTTTGATTATCTAAAGATTAATCCAAAACTGCTATTGTTTTAACCTTTATGAAGAGTCACTCAAAATGTATCAATCACATTCTTTTCTCCTTTAGAGGAATTCTAGGAGAGTTATACCAATCTCGACTGGTAAGGGGCCTTAATTGTTCAGAGTCTTGCAGTGCTTCTGGGTCATAATTCTGAAACCAGCAGTATTTGGTATGAGTATAAAACATAAAAGCCGACCTTGTATGTAACATTCAGCTGACCTTGGACATTTCTGAGTTTCTGAAGAAATTTCTGATTTGGTTTGCTTTTTGATTTCTTTCTTGGACATTGGCTGTAGCTAAATTTTTAAACTTAATTCAATTTTTTAAATAATGTTGGCTTTTCTGGCCTTATTCTGTAACTTGAGCCTAAATTTTATCTGCAGTGTCTGAACTTGTAGACTTTGCTGTGATCCTGGAATGCGTTGAAATTGTGACATGGGAATTGGTCCAGAAATCACTTACAGGAGCAAGAACTCGGGCCTGAGCTTAGCTGGGGAACGATTTCAGTTAAATCATTTCTCCTCCACTCGCACATTTCTGCATGTTTCAGTGACCAGATTCGTGCCAGCGATGGGGGGAGGTTACACATTCCCACTGAGAACACTTGATGGAGATTATCGGGATACTTTATTTTTTTCCTTTCACTAAGCCAGAATTGGCAGCAGAAGCTGGGTCTGAGATTGTGTCTAAAACTATTGGCTGTTCTGGGAATGGAAGGAGGAATTTATACCTAGTGCATTTCCCCATTCCCTCTTCTGTTCCTGCAGGAGATTCACATTTAGTGAAAGGCATGGGACCTCATATGAAATGGTCAATTAAGGTACTGAAGCGGCTCAGTCCTGTTCAGTAGCCACCTTGAGGTTATTTGCTCTCTCAAAACTTAATCTTTTTCCTTTTTCCTTCTATTTTTTCTTCTTTTTTTTTCTAAATTTTTTTCTGGGTGACTTGTCCCTTCATGACTCAGCTTAATGTTCTCCACCAGAAGATTGGCTGTAACTTCTGTTTTATCATAGCCTTCTTCCTTTCAAAGCCTCAGTGAGTGGCTGGCCCATTTCTCTTCTCTGGGAGATTTCATCGTAGTAACCGCATTCCTGGAGAAAACTGAAAAAGTAGACATGGGGCATGAGAATTAGCATGGCTCAAAATGTCCAAAAAGATTGACCTTGATTGGTAGCTCCATGAAGGATGATGACTGAAATGGGTGTATATAAGAGAATCAAAAAAAGCTTTAGGAGCGGTTATCTCCTGACTTAACATTGAGTCAGGGACTGGTATGGAGGCTAGCGCTTGTGTAACTTAACTTTGATGATGTTTTCCTGGATTCTGAATGGTCCCTTGGAAGTAGAACAGTTGGCAGCCATCAGGCTTAGACCTATTTCAAATGAATGACTGTCCCTGCATCTCAGTGGTGACCATTTAATGTGGTACTCTTCTAGTCATGGATAGGGACAAGGAAGCCTGGAAGGGCACTGTGGTGGAAGCGGTGTGCCAGGAGAGGAGGACTTATTCCTCCCGCCGGGGGAGTGCTGGCAGCAGGTAGCCCTCTGCTCGGGTGTCAGTCTTACCAGGGAATTGCCTCAGCTGAAGAGTCCCCTGGCCCAGGGCCACCAGGTGGCCTACAAGTGACTGCTGACCTATGTGAGGGTATAAAGGCGTGTCCTCCTAGACCCAGTTCAGGACAGCGCTGAAGCATCACCCATCTTCCGAATCTTCCCTGCAGGGGCGCCTGTGGCTTTTAGTGAGGCTGCCTCCTAGCTCAGTTTCTCCCTCTGCTCAACTTCCACCTCCCTTCCCTACTTCCTTTTCTCCCTCCTTCCCTTCCAGAAGTCGATTCCAAGCGTATGCGCTCATCAGCCTTTCGCCTGCAGAATATCATTTCAGAATCTGCTTTGGGAGGAACCCCACCTGCACAGGGGTTTTATGAGCAATTTGCCTGTCCATTAGAAAATGTAGCACAGACTTTTTTTCATGTAATCAAAAAAATTTTTTAGAGACCGAGAGTTGGGAAGAGAACGCTGAGAAGAGAAACAAAAGACTTAGATGAGGTCAGTTAAACTAAGTTAGGTTAGTTCTTTCTCCTCTGAATATCTGAATCTGAGATGTGGGGTGACACCTTGCTTCTCTGTGAAGGTTAGAAGCTGTCATTTGAAGTCTTGACCCAGTCATCCCCAAATTTGATGTGATGGGGAGAGAAAGAGAGGGAAGGACCAAAGAGATTATTTCAAGCTGGATTCTTCTTTGTGTTTGCACTGGGACTCTATGTTCTTGCTTTTGCATTTGACCTTATACACTGAGTCCTTTCTTGGACCATCCATTTCTCCTCTGTGATGCTGTGGCAGCAGACTGGAATTACTCAAAGAACAACTGAATAAATGGGCAGTGGTGCTTGGCAGCTCCAACCCAGACTACACATCCGGGAGGATAAGCAGCCTTCGGAAGGTATTCTTGCTCCCCTCCAAGGAAGTTGTGCATGCCTCACTGAGGGGACTGCCCAGCCTGGTGTGAGGCAGAGCAGTGGGCAATCGGGGGGGTTGGGGGTGGGGACTGGATGGAGGAGAAGCTACTGTGAAAATGTAGTGACACCCAAGGAAGAGGTGAAAACTTTGGAGGAGAAAGCCCAGAACCACGCGAACAGCTTTTTCTGTTCTTTCTTTGGGTCTTAGAGGAATTTGTGCATTCAAGGGCTTGGTCCTCCACCTGGTCTCTGGTCCCTTGGCGTGACCTCGGATGATGAGTGGACATCATCTGTCTGCTCTACCCTTTTGAAGACTGGGTCGCCATTCAACTCAGCCTTCGGGGTCCATGGGGAAGCGGGGCACTACAGAGGTAGGAAGCCTCTCAATGATCTGAGTCATCGGGAGGCGAGCAAGTTAGATGGTGGGCGCAGGCTGGAGGGTCCCTACGGGGTGTCATGATGTTTGGCTCAGGGATGTTACAATGTGTTCCTGAAAGGCCAGAGGCTTCTTGGGGCTGCTCCCCAGGCTACACTACCCTTCGGGGCCGGCCCGGGGTTTGTGCTGCGAGGGGAAGAGAGGCTAGGGCGCTGGAGGTGTGGCCCCCCGGGACGGGTGCAGGAGGAACGAGGCCTCCGGACAGCGGAGGGAGGGGAGGGCGCCGGGGCGTGGTGACTGCCGCCGCACCCTGGGGCCCAGGGGAGGCGGGGCGTGGGGGTGCCGAGCCCGGCGGCGAGCGCGCTCTGTCCAGCCCGCGAGAGTGCGGGGAGCGGCGGGCGGGGCCGAGGGGCGCGGCAGCGCCCCATCGGCGGCGACTGCGAAGCGGGGGCGCCGCGGAGAAAGGCGGGCGGGAGGGAAGGAGGGAGGGACGGAGGGAGGGAGACACGCGGAGTGAAAGTAGGGAACGAGGTGCGGGCGGTGCTGGGGCCCCGGGGCCGCGGGAGCCCGGCGAGGTCGAGCTGGGCGGCGGCGCGGGTCGAGCGGAGCCGAGGGCGGAGGGGCGGGCGGAGGCGTGGGGAGTGCGTTTGGGGCGCCGCGGCGGAGAGGGTGGCGGCCGCCGGTGCGCGCGGGGCGCTGTGTGTGCGCGCTCGCCCGCTCGAGGAGGAAGATGGCCCAGAAGGGAAAGTTGGGGTGACGCGCGCAGCTCCGGCAGGCTCGGCGGGGTGCCCCGCGGTGAGCCCGACGGAGCGGCGGCCAGACCGGCCGTGGGGCGCACGGTCGGGGCGCCGCCGCCGCCGCCGCTGCCGCCGAGGCGCCCGCCCCCTCACTGCAGGTGGCCGCCGCGGCGCCGGGGCCGGGCGGCCGGGGGCGCGGGCGGGCGCGCGGGGGAGCCCGGCCGAGGGATGGGCTGCGCCCCCAGCATCCACGTCTCGCAGAGCGGCGTGATCTACTGCCGGGACTCGGACGAGTCCAACTCGCCCCGCCAGACCACCGGCGTGTCGCAGGGCCCCGCGGCCCCTCTGCACGGCCTCTTCGTCCAGACCGACGCCGCCGACGCCATCCCCCAGAGCCGCGCGCCCGGGCCCCCAGGCGCCGCCCGCGCCCGCAGGGCCCGCGGGGAGCTGGGCAGCGGCAGCAGCGCGGGCTCCGCGGGCCCCGCGGCGACCACCTGCAGGGGCCGGAGGCGCCACTGCTGCAGCAGCGCGGAGGCCGAGACCCAGACCAGCTACACCAGCGTCAAGGTAAACGCCGGGCGCCCGCGCGCTGCCGGGGGTGGGGGTGGGGGGGCGCCCGCCGCGTCCCGCGGGCAGGGGGCTCCGGCGGAGTTTAGTGGCCTGGTTGGTTTGGGGAGATGGCCACTAAGGAGGAGTTTACTTTTCATTTGGGAGGGGAGTGATGAGGGCCCCGGAAATGGGTGCGTTAAAGACCCCAGAGGGGTCCTGAGAGCCGATTTTGGGGGAGCCGGGTGGAGAAGGGAAGCAGGTGGTCTGGCCTGGTTCTCACTGAGAAGGAGAAGGCTGGACTGGGTCAGCTCTGGAGGAGGGGTGGGCATCGTTGGGAGCGTTCGGAAACGAGTTCCCTGAATGAAATCCGAGCTCCGGGCTGGATGTGCGTGGCTGGGAGGTGAAGGGTGCAGACTCGGTGCCACGGTACTATAGTGCCCTCGTGTTCAGATTTTTACCTGGAGACGCCGGCCGGGTTGCATGCAGTCTCAGCCACAGGGGCCGAGTGTGAGGATTTGTGAATGGATGAGAGGGTTTCCGTTCTCTGGAGGGATGGAGGAAGGGAATGGAGGAGGAGGACCCGAGTGGAACCTGTTGTTTAGGACTTCTTTGGGTTGGCTGCGTGTCTGGAACATAATTGAAAGAACCTGGCAGGGAGTTTGGAGGGTCGGCTGCGCTGCCGTGAGGGGAACTGATTTCCAATGCAAGTGCCGCTGCCTGAGGATGAAGATTCATTCTGCACATTCATCTTATCTTTCAGGAGAGTGAAATTTTGAGCCACTGGAAAACATTAAGTGATTAAAGCAGTCACTGCATATTTCTTAGTGGCAGAAGGAAAATGATGATTTTTTTTTTTTAACAGTGTCCTCCTGTGTGTTCTCAAAATACTATTAAGTCCAAGAGGTTTTTCTTTGTGTAAATCTGGCCACTGGGCCTTTTATTCTTACAGCAAACAGAAGGATGGTGGCATATCCTACAGTACAGAGGGAGGGAAATGTGTCTCTCTGACTGTTAATGTAAGAGAATCAACAGCTTTTTACATGGTCAGTAGATTACCAGGAATTGTGTCACTGATTAAAGGCACCATTATATCTTTACTACTTGAAAAGTTATTCAACGATTGGCCTAGTGTGAGGAGGCTCCTAGTCTTCATTGGATAAAGTCAGCTCTCAGCGGATGGATGAAGACAAGGATGACGTGTGCTGACTTCCATGACATGGAAGAGCAAATGCTTCTTTTAGTGAGCTTGCTCTAACAGCATCTGATTTTGTAACATGAAGCTTAACTGATGTTTATGTATAAGTTAGAGAGTTTCTCTGGTAATAATCGTGTGATAGAGTATGATAATATAATCATCATTATAATACAAACACTATTTATTGAGCACCTACTATGTACCGGGTAGAAGTTTTCTAGCTTTTGAGTGTTAACTGTTTACTGATAGAATATCCAAGAACTAGAGACCCAGATGCATGACAGTACTAGCTACTAATTGAACATTTGTTATAAGGGAGCATGCTGAACACTAAGTTTTGTTTTTTTCCCCCCACACTGGTTCACATAAAGTTATCATTAGAAGTAATTTCAGGGGATGAAAATGTTTTATTTGGTGAAGTAATTAAATTGGAATGTTGCCAATAATGACTGTTCTTTTGCCTTCTTGTTGAAAAGGAAATTTGATGACATGAAGCGGTAGTTCAGAATGATGACAACTTATGAACTCCAGATACTCTTTTTCGTTTGCTTAAGAGAATTTTTCGCCTTTAAGAATGGCAAGAATCTCAATTTAGTACCTGGCAACTTCAGTCATTCCATGTTTGTTTAGTAAAAGAAAGAATAATGAATGAACTCATTCTCTATGTTTTAGTACTTCTCTCAAGAGGCTACTTAGAGACCAAATGAAATAAAAACTGGAGGGGAAATAAGTCCCAATTATTAGCAGTTAGTATGAACTTGTATAAATATCATTGCTACTTCGCTGAAGTGTTAAAAAGGCTTCACCTGGATAGGAATTTAACTTACTTTGCTTTGTCAACCAGATTTCCAAACAAGAGCTTATTTCATTCCAACCCATTGCTGCAGATGTTGGACAGAACTGCTGGTTCAGTTTATTCAACACTAATTTGCACGTGTAGAACTCAGAAACTACAGATTTGATATTACATGTGAGAGCAAAATGATTATTTATACAAATCACATAGAATTACTGTCACAGAATTGGTTTAAAATATTTAACACTATCCTTTTAGGATGTGTGACTCGGTGTTATAGTATCTTTTTCAATTTTCACCTGTTCCATGTTCTTTTGTAGATGAGGTAATTTTATAAAGACATTACTTTCATTTCTTTTTAGAAGAATTCTTCCACCTTAGGAGTTTGAGACAATTGCTAGTCATGGCCCCCGCCCCCCACCACACTCACCCCTCACTTGTCCAAAATGCTCAAGTGGAAAAGTAAAGTGCCATTTGGTCTTATTTACAGTGGTGGTAGGGTTGTAATAGTTGTGTTTTTTTTTTAATTTGCTCTTTGTACATCAATTATAAACCATATCTTCATTATCTCCTTGGTCTCTGGTATTCCCCAGAGTGCAGAAATGCATGCTTGATCTCTTTCTTTTCTAGCAAGAATTCATCTCATTAGGCTTTTAGAATGATGAAGCATTATGATGTCAAACATGATGTCGACAGGAACCTTCCTGAATACCTAATTTACAAAAAATGATGAGCATTAATAATTCATGTGCACTACAGTGATATCATGTGGGTTTCCAATTCTGGTAAGAAGTTAGATTTGTCTTCCAATTGCTGTAAAAAAAATGCAGCTTCCTAGCAATTTGTCTCCCTCTTGTTTGCCTTTTTAAAAATCATGCTCCAACAGGAGAATCCTGCAGAATGCTCACTGCTGAGACTGTGCCAGTTTTGCAATTCTTGTTCAGAAATCCTCAGAGGAGATGGTGGAACCTCTCCCTGGGAAGATCTGGGGATTCTTACAAGTTTCCTTTTTCTCATCCCAGCTGTTGTGCCTGGGGAGGATCCAGGATTAGGCAGCCAGTTGTAGAAGAGAGTCTTGATTGACAATTCAGTCAACTTGCAGTCATCTCTTGTGAGGTAAACTATTTTGTGGATCAGACACAGGAGGTTCTTAGTTTCCAAGTGATTTTGTTCTAGTAGGCAGCCTTGCCAATTCCCGCGTCGCCTTCCATTCATTGTGCTCAGTCATTCATTCAGTCAGTATTTGTACCAGGTTCTGCTGTTCTGTGGATTCAGGGAATATACATGAAGCCTGGTAAGTAAAACCTAATGAGGATGGTCAGCCTATTGCAAAAGGATGTGCCAAAGCCAGTGATTCGTTACTTCTGTATTATCTGTGTTCCATGGCTTTCCAAATCAGTGAGGATAATCCCAAGTTGACTATCTATAAAGGGAAAAAAGATACTTTTCTGACCTTGTGGTAAATAATAAGTGAGATTTTATTTACCCCTCCTTTAAATGGAGGGATAGAGCTATTTTGAAAAAAAAAAAAAAGATTTTTATTAAGTCAGTAGTCTCAAGTTTTAGTATAATCAGAATCACCTGGAAGGCTTGTTGAACTACTGACTGTTCGGTTCTACTCCCAGAGTTTCTGATTTAGGAGCTCCTGGGTGGGGCCCAAGAGTTTGGATTTCTAACAAGCTTCTAGGAGACACTAGTTTTGCTGATCTAGGGACCACAATTTGGGAACCACTGTTTTTAAATGAATTAAATTTTCTGTGGGTCAGAAATTGAATTAGGTGTGGCCACCTCCAGCATAGTGTATGGTTCCACACTGTGTGTGTTCGGAGTACTAGTCACCACCCTGCCTTCATCTTGGTGGTGGTTGAGTTGCTAAGTTGTGTCTGAATCTTACGACTCCATGGACTGTAGCCTGCCAGATACCTCTGTCCATGGAATTTCCCAGGCAAGAATGCTGGAGTGGGTTGCCATTTCCTTCTCCAGGGGATTTTCTAGACCTAGGGATCGAACCCCCATCTCCTGCATTGCAGGCAGATTCTTTACCAGTGAGCCAACATGGAAGCTGCCCTGCCTTCATCTTAGGTTACTTTCGTGATATGGGCCATCTGTCATCTCTGCCCGTGAAGTCAGGCTCTGAGCCTCCAGATGTGGCTGGGAAGTCTGTGAGTGGAGAGAGGGCTGGGCTTGTGTGTAGCCCACTCTGGCTCCCGAGGTGCAGACTCCCCTAGGGTCCCCTGGGGTTTGTGGGTCCTGGTGTCTGGCTTTGCGGTCTCAGTCCCTCACATGCCTCTGCTCCGCTGGGGTTGCGTCCCGCACAGTGGGAATTGCAAAGCAAGGGAGCAACTTAAAATGGGCTGACGTCGGCTCTTGGAGTTCTTGCTAGTCTTTTTCACCGTGCTGTGTGTGTTTAGTTTTAGTAAATCCCTAATTTATTTTCTGCCGTAGCTCATTTCATCACAATTTAGTGCCCCCCTCTTTGTTTCAACACATGAACTATAGTTGTTGAGCAAATTTTCCTGGTCTTCACTGCTTTCCTCAGTAGTTACACTCATTTCTAAGATCTATCAGATATCAGTAAGAGAGCAAACTGCTCCTTTTCAGAGGTGATGCTCTTCTACTGATTCCCACCCTGGTGGACACGAGGCAGGACGTGGGCTGCGGCAGAGCAGGACGTGCTGGTGAGGGCTGGGCAGCTCCCTTGGACCAGGTTATGGTGGGTGAAGGCCAGGAATCAGAATGGAAGGGAGGGGGGAAGGAGTCCTGTAGCCCCAGGGGAAGAGAGAGTTTAGGGTCTGGGAAACCAGCAGGGTTGGGGGAGGAACAGCTAAGTACTGCAGAGCCGAGTGGGCAAGTAAAATCTAAAATCCAGGAGCTCAGAAAGCTAACAGGCTGTTGAACTGGGTTGAGACTTCTGGTTGGGGAAAAAAGGGAGATGCTGGTGACCAGTCAAAGGGCTGTAAGTAAACCCTGCACCTAAGTGAGGCAAGGCCAACCAACCAGTCCTTCCTCAGACCTGGGCAGATGGTG